CCTCCTCCAACACTGCTCCATCGAAGATATGATGCTTATGAAAACATTCATGGTGTATAAGTTGAAAACTTCTTCTGTAACTGTGAAAAATATCCTGTGGGAAAACTATATCTAGTACATTCCATGTGTATTTATGTTCAACGTACAAATGCTAACCAAAAATAAAAGGTTACTTTACCAAAATCTACAGCATACTGTTTGCCATGGAAAAAAATCAGAAATAGGTGTACACAGCACTTAAGGGAACATGTTTTTAAAATCTTCTTATTTATTGTTATTGTATAGCAGATTTTTTTTTGTAAATGTATTAGCTAGAGTTTTTTTCTTTTAATGTTTCACATCTAAATTTGCTAAATAATTACTATTCAGCTAGGTTTCTTATGCATTGGCATTTATTCTGAATCAATTTATTTGATTTCTGAAGTTAATTTTTATATTTTATTTTGTAAATGGGGTTTGGTTTTCATTTTACCCTGATTAGAGGGTTTGTTTTCTGGCAGAAACACTTGAGTGCATAATTCTGTTTTGGTTTTTTTCTGAGATGAGGGAGAAGGTGGATAGTGCTTCTTAGTAACTCTGCTGCCACATTCCTCTTAATAGATTATTATTTTGGCAGCGTATGGAGACAGTGGGCAAACTGCCACCTGGTATAGACTGTATCAGCTGTGTTGCAGTCAAAAGAATTGGGACAGCATGCTCTGAGCATCTGCCCTAGTATTATTTGACTGTTTACGAAGGACATTTCTGAGAGAGGATTGTTTTTCTGTATCATCACCAAATGATTCAAAATAAGCCACCCACTGTGCTTTTATGAGCACTTCTCTACAAATTGAAGAATAACTGCTTTGTTAAGGAGAAAATACAATTGAGATTTAGAGAAGAATGCTATTTCCCTAACAGGCCAGGTCATGTTAGCATAATACTTGTTTTCTTAGTAATTATACATATGATTTCCTTCCCGAAAAGGACTTGAAGCAACAGGCTGGCTTAGGATTTGACAGGCAACTAAATATTCTTCTTTGTTTTTCATGAAATAATGGGATACTTTTCCCCCTCCCCCCTCAACACTGAAAAGAAAAGACTGCATGTTACAAAATGAAAATTTTGGTAAACAGGGGGAGTGTGACAGAGGACTGGCAATCTTCGCTGTTTGCTAAAGAATTCTGCTTTCCCATTACGCTGTGGTTTTGTTTACACAATCCAGACCCAACCAACATTAGGACGCTGTCCTGCCCTTAGACTCGAATGTGTCATGGTCCTGAGAAAGGTGGGTTTTAGAAACGCTAGTGTGCTTCCATGCATTAAACAGTACAGTACTTGATAATATTTTGGAATATTATCAAGTAATACAACTAATTTAGTTACTGTTCTTCCCTTTTTGAATAGATTAAAAAAAAAAAAAGCGGCCAAGTGGTTTTCTTTCAAAAGCACTACTAAGTCTTAATCCTGCACAGAAATTTCACGGTCTAAAAGCCAATGCTATATACAGTAAGCCTGTAAGACACTGCAGCACGTGAGCTTTTCACACTTCCCTTCTATGTGGTCTACTACAGCCATAAATAAAGTTCTTATTGGTAATGCTGTAAAATATTTTGGAAGCTGCTAACAGCGTAATGCTTTGAAGATACCAGGAATATCTAATACTGTTTGCTCTTTTAAACGGTGGCAGACCACTTAATAGTTAAAAAAAAAACAAAACCAAACCCAAACCAAGTTCAACATTTTACATATGTTTCACTATTGCTACCTACAACTTACTCCATTATATTATCCTTGTCAGAGCATATCTAAACGCTGTGGTCTATATTCAAAACAGTGTTCAATCAAAATTCTGTGACCCTTGAAACTATGAATATTGAATATATGTAATGCAGTGCTATCACAATATTTTCAATAAAGGAATTTATGCATTCAGAAGCTTGTTACAGATGTTTTCTCTTTTATTCACAAACTTCAGTACATTTTAAAGACGGAAGGATGCAGCTTAAGTTACAGGTTATGCTGAGAAATACCTACGCCTCCCTTCAAAAAAAATTCCAGCAATATCGTATTTCAGAAACAGGGCTAAGAAGTTGGGGGTTTTTGTCTTTTGTTTTGTTTGGTTCTTTTTTCTTGCGTGGTATGACATCTCCAAAAAGAGACGTGTTTTGAGTTCACTCAAAAACAGACTGTGATAAGGGGGTAAGAAATACCAGTAATCCTGTTCCAGTTTAACAGTAGATTAACTAGTAGTTCTCGTTGCTTCTCTCAGCTGCAGTGAATGACATGTATTCCCTCATTGGTTTTTGACCATCCTGTTCCCAGAAGTCCGTGTACATCATTTTTGTACGCACCCTTGTTACGTTGCTGAAGTGTTCATGTATTTTTCTTTCTGTCCAAGCAAGACAAAGGCATACAATGTCTTAAAAGTACTTGGGTTTTGCCTTTATTGGTTTTATGGTATACAGAGGTGGCATTAAGAAAAAACAAACTACGGTTACGCATGAAAGGGAACAAGTATGCTATCTGTGAACCTTGCTTTGAGCACAATGGCAGTAAGAATTTTCTTAAAGTAAGAGGAAAATTACGGTCACTAGTAATCTTTCTCTCAGAGGGAGAACAAGAGCTTGTTCTTGCAACACGAAGCATACGCGCTTAGTGGTACCTGGATAAAGATTTCTGATTCAGGACAGTGTTGAAATGCTCATTCACAACAAGGCTGGTAGGCGCCCACGTTAAGTGCAGATGTTCAGTTTGGTGCTGGTTTCAGTGCAGTTTTTGCACCGGGTGTTTTGTACAAAGCTGGCTTTAGAGCAAAGTAAAACCCATTACTTCCAGAATAATCCTCGTGCGTAAACTCCTGTTCCTTCACTTGCCTGTTTGTAGCCAAGAAAGGAGCGGGTTAGCTCGCTGCAAAGGGATTGCCTCGCGCTCTGCGGGTCAGCAATTGCTGGCAAATGAGCTTCTTCGAGTAGAATAGCCGTGTCCTACTTGCACAAGCGCAGCTCTCTTGCTCTGAAAGAAACGCATTTTTGAAAAATCTCATTCTAAATTTTGCAACTCATGACCACGAGTTGGGTGGTGGTAGCTCCTAACTACGGCCTGTTGGCTGTGGAACACGTACTTTGTGCCATTTGGGCTGCGTGAAGAACATAAACACTGAAATTCTGTGGTCAGAGATTCTGCAGCTCTGCAACTCTAGTCTAATGGCGAGTGCAAGCGATTTAAAATACAAATTACTAAGAACACATTTTTAGAAATCGAAGGTTAGCTACCGCTTAGAAATACCCTCTGTTAGCTTCGGAAGGGACTGACAACGCCGTGGGTGGCGAAGCACGGGCAGGGGTTGCCCAGAGCGGTGGCGGATGCCCCATCCCTGGAAACGTTCCAGGTCCGGTTGGCCGGGGCCCTGAGCAGCCTGGCCGAGTGGGAGACGTCCCTGCCCACGGCAACCCGTGCCCGAGCCCGCGGCGGGGGGGTCGGGCTAGCTGACCTTCAACGGTCCCTTCCGACCCAAACCGTTCTATGGTTGATCCTACGAATTGGATGAGCTCAGAATGCAGTCACTCAATTTTATTCCCAGTTTGTACCGGTTTTGTTGTTTTTTTTTTAGCGAAAGCTCCCGGTGAGCAGACTTCACGAGTTTTTATCGAGGCTTCGGTGTGCGGCCGGAGGTTTGCGTCAAACCACCGGGGGAGTTCCGCGCTCCACAGGCGCAGAACCGGGCCGCGTCAGGGCTGCATCTGCGGCCGCGGCCGTTCCTGCTTGCGCTGCGCGCGGGGTGGGGCGTCCCCGAGCGGCAGGCTCCCGG